CTCAGTCAATTAAGTGTCTGCCTTCAGCTCAGATCATGATCCCAGGGTCCTGGGACTGAGCCCCACATTGGGCTCCCTGCTCAGAGGGAGGTTCTCTCTCTTCCTCTGCCCCTTCCCCTGCTCATACTCTCTCTCTCTCATTCACTCACTCTCTCTCTCAAATAAATTAAAGCTTAAAAATAAATAAATAAGCAAGGAGATGTGCAAAGAGGGAAGCAGTAAAATGTAGTAGTCAAAAGCTCTGGATCAGATGCACCACTGATACTCCTTGTTTGTCTCTTCATCTGTCAGTCCATAGCTTTCTAGTATGTTCCAGCAACCGGTAATGATACTAGTTTATAACTTCCTGGTTCTGATCCTGGCTCTGCCACTCACTGGCTGGGTACTTTGCCAAGTGACTTAACCTCTCTGAGCCTCTTTGCTCAGCTGCAAAACAGGGAAAATCATGACCTGTGCCTGAGTTATTTTGAGGACTGAACAGGAGAGGATGGATGGGAAGGGCTTAGCACAATGCCTGGCCTGCAATAAGCACTCAATAAATGCTTCAGCGTGAGGAGCACTGGGTTAGGAGGCAGGCCACCTTGGATGTGAACCCCAGCTCTGCTCTGCTGCTTGGGCTGTGTGACTTTGGCCAGGCCAATTAACTCTCTGAGTCTTGTTTCCCCCTGGGAAAAAATGGAGATCATAATACCACCCTCGCAGAGCTGTGGGGTGGATTAAGTGACAAGACATGTTTTGATGCCCAGCATGGCCCACGTGGGAATTCCCCCTTCCTCACCTCTTGACTTTCAGCAGCGCTGGCCTGGCTGAGGCCCAGGCTGGAGCGGATCCCACTGTCCATTTGTGTGGCTTTTGCACCTGGACTGCCAAGTGTGGCTGGACAAAGTCAACACAACCATGTGAATGGCTTTTCACAAATAGAAGGCTACGGTTATGAAACACCAGTGAGGCACAGCCCTTCCAGCCCTCTTTAGGGCACTTCCTCCTGCACTGGCTGGTCTGCCCACTCATGCTCCCCAGCCCCCTGCTGAGCCTCAGAAGTTGGCCTCAACTCCCTCTTGGCCGAGGTCATCAACCTTTCTCTCCACTTCCCAGCACCTGATTCTCACCCCCATCCTCTCCTCTTTCCTGTCCTCCCAACTCAAGACATAGAGTGTCCTCCTTTTTGAGGCTGAATTGTTCACTCCATCACCCCCCTTCCAATCTTCCAGTACTTTCTCTCCAATGTGTCAGCCAAAACAAACTGGCTCAGGTACCTTAATCTTTCCCAAGTCTGACAGTGACCCTATTGCTCCCTCATTCACTAGTCCACTCATTTAAGAAGTATTTGTTGAGGGGCGCCTGGGTGGCTCAGTCATTAAGCGTCTGCCTTTGGCTCAGGTCATGGTCCCAGGGTCCTGGTATCGAGCCCCACATGGGGCTCTCTGCTCCGCGGGAAGCCTGCTTCTCCCTCTCCCACTTCCCCTGCTTGTGTTCCCT